CCGTGCGGTATTAGAATTTAATATATAATAGTATTAGAATTCGCGACCCGCAGTGCTTCAGCCAAACGCTTAGTAACTACGCCAGAGGACTGTCAGAAATTTAATAAACATAACCATACATAAAACATAAACACTCACGCCTGTCACCCAGAGGGGTAGGCAGAGACTACGGACTTCCATTTGGCGCGATCCTGACACACCTCTCTCGCCTCTTTTACATCCATATATCTACGCATACACGCTCGTCGGTTAAGGGTACTCCTAATCTGGCCCATTTTTAATATATCGCCGATTTGGTCGATAAACCTTCGTCTAAGGCGTCCCTTCCCGACCCTGCCGTTCACTTCCGCAACATAAATTTGCTTTGTCACTCTTTCCTCGTTCATTCTTTCTACATGACCAAACCACCGAAGCATTCCTTTCTTAATCCTTGTCACAACGTCATCTTGCAAACCACACTTTTCTCTTATCACACTATTTCTCACCCTGTCATTCAGATTCAGCCCTAGCATACTCCTTAAGGAACGCATTTCTACAGCATTTACTCTACTCTCATGCTTCTTCTGCCAGACCCAACTTTCACTACCATACATTAAAGTAGGGACTAACACAGCATTATGAATTGCCTCGTTGGTCTAGTGGCTGTAGTAGTGCGACTGCTGATCATGAGGTCCCGGGTTCGAATCCCGGGTCGGGCCAAAAAATTAGTTATTGAGTTTTTCTATCAAGAAATTCTCAGTAGCTGCCCGGAGTCAGGAAGTTGGCGGTGTCTCACCCCCGTGCCTCGGAAAGCACGTTAAGCCGTTGGTCCTGCGCCTGATCTCTCTCCGGTCGTGTCGGTTTACCGTCCCATCGGACTATGAGAGTGAGGGAATAGAGAGTGCACCTGTGCTTGCGCAAACACTTGGGCACTATAATCCTGTCCTGCGCAGATGGCTAGTCTCCGTTGAAACTGGCCGCCGTGACCGAAATTCGGTCTGGAGGACATTATTATGAATTGCCATACGTGCCTTAGTTGACACATTCTGACTCCTCATAATAGCGAGTAGAGCCCCATTCACTCTATTTCCTGCGTTCACTCGTCGTTCTATATCCTTATCATATCTACCATCCCTGCTAAATAAACAGGTTTAATAATGAACATAATATTATAATTACTTTCTGTATTATGTTGTAATGTTCTTTTTGTCTTAAATTTAAAGAACTATTCTCATTTTAAAGTACTGTATCCATATATTAATACGTGCAAACTTTGTACCACATTTTAAGCATATGGAGCGCACGGAGAAGTGTGGGATTTGTCATAGTTGATGTTTATATGGAGGAGGAGTGCAGAAAGTTGAAATTTATACATAATTTCTGTTACAAATACATTGAATTAAATTAAATTAAACTAAAAATTCATAGTATGTTTGTATACGTTCATACTGCCAAAGTCAGACATGTAATAGTCCGTAGTCAAAAAGTCACACAGAGTAGAAATTGTCGCCAAAGAATTTAAAAATATTTGCAACAAATAATTACTTCTTTAGGTCATTCAGGCTTCTTAAAGCTTTAATTTTGTGGGTTCAGGGGAAGCCCCACCTACCCTTCACCCCTTTGCGGAAATGTATAGTTTATGAGTAATTATTTTTTTTAATCATAGCCTCACTTTTTCACACAGGATTATTGACTCAAAGTTACTTCTGCAACGGCCTCGGCGCTGCGGGAAGTGCAGCCCCTTCGCTATTGCGAAGCAAATACAGGCAACCATGGTCACCTTTAGCTTAATGGTCGTCTTTGGCGACCAGCCTCAGCCCCTACGATACCAGCGGGCGGGAGCTGCTCTCCCTCTGCGCTTACGGCTTTACAAAAACACTCTAGGGGTAGGGCAGACAAGACTACGTGGAGTCGGAGCGTGCAGATTCAGTTTTTGTACAGATTCGACCTATCTTATCTATAAAGTCAGGTTTCCCTAAACTCTGCTATGATAGTGGTAATTGTTATAATTTTGTTTTCTGAAAAACATCTTGAATGCTCTCCACTACTACGTTTTATGGGTTTTTATGGGTTTCATTATATGTAATTTTAGTTGGTCAGATTTATTTTTATCGTAATTAATTCAATAAACATTTCCGAAATCCCAAAATAGTATAAAGGGTTTCAAACTTAACCCTGACAAGCCTGCTAAACTGAAAACATAATTAAAATCAAGTACTCGTCGTCTCTCCATAATACTAGACCAAATTGACATATTTGCATTTCGTTATAAGCAATTTTAGAGAAATTTATTTTTATCGTAATTAATTCAAAACGCATTTCCGACATCCAAAAACATTGTAAAGGTTCAATCTTAACCCTGACAAGCCTCCTTAACTGAAAACATTATTAAAATCAAGTACCGAACGTCTATAGCCACCCCTATTTTTTTAACTTAACTTTTACCCTGAAGCGAATTCGATAAAATGTCAGCTATGTTCAATAATAAGAAAAAAGAGAATTATAATGAGACTATTCGAGGAATGCAATTATCTCGTATTCCCTTTGCGATCATGATTTTTGTGCTTTCCTAAGTAAGTTGTGGTAACAAACTAACATGTTCTTCATTCCCTATATTTGTATACATCCTATAAGTAAATTTTATTTTCAGTCAATAGTTGCTTTGGTGGTAAAGTTTTTGATGAATAAACTCATACAAACATGTATAATGTACTATCTTCCGTTATCGTCTAGATGTCGATCTCGTGATTCGGATATCAATGGATATCTGTTCTTTTTTTTTAAAGATGAAAGAACAAAAGATTGCTTAATTTTTAGAAATAAGTACTACTAGTAATTTGAGCATAAGTTTAGGACCAAAATTTTTATTACATTTATTTATTTTTATTTTTACAAAAATTGCACAATTAATTCAAACAAAGCCATAATCTAAAAATAGTCTCCAATTATAAACCTAAGAACTAGGAGAAAACTGTATCTCACGTATATGTGCTAATAGATACAATTTACGATTTTTAATATAAAATTCATGACAAACCAACTAATAAGGGTTAATTTCATTAAAATATATTATACTCCCAAATTAATTTAAAACAATTAGCAAGTTTTTCGTATACGTAGGTCACTCAATACGTTTTGAGATGCTCGAAATTTTAAAATGGAACGCACCCATGTTATATGTTTCTAAAAAGCAAATTTATTTAAAAATAGAACTCCATAAGCCAATTGCTCAATATTAAAATAAAATTTCTATTAATTTTCCTGCAACGCTTCCCGCGCTTTTCATTTAAAACGATGTATCTTAACCGTGAACATTTGCGCGTTATGATATATTACGATTTTAAATTTGGTTTAACCCAACAATTAAGTTTAGAACGGTTACAATCAGCATTAGGGGGACTAAGCTCCATTACCCACAACAATTTTTAGGTGGGTTGCTGAATTCAAAAGGGGTAAAATTAATCTTAAAAATGACCAAAGAACCGAGGCCCCGCAAACAGCAGTAACGGCAGAAAATGTATGGACTACTGAAATGTTGGTGCGAGAAGACTGTGGGTCTTCTCGCACCATCATTACAGTAGTCTACATATACGGATATCGAAACGATTGTAGTCGTTAGTTCGGGAGCATTCATTCCATCCTACATCAACATCTTGGAGTGAGGAAGCTTTGTTATCGATGGATTCCTCGTTTGCTCTCCGAAAGCGAAAAACAGACTCGTGTAGATTGGTGCCATGAAATGCGTCTACGTTTTGAAAACGGGGCATCTAGGCGTGTTTCAGAAATCGTTACTGGTGACGAGACATGGATCTATCAATATGATCCGGAAAATAAAAGGCAATCATCGGTATTAATAGTATCTAGAATACTTTTTGTATATCTCAAAACTTATTGAGTGACCTACGTATGACAATTTTCGTAACCATGTTTAATGGAAAATCAATACATGAAGAATGCCTTATTCTAATGTTACTTTCACCTACTTTATCTTTGTTTTTTTATCAGTGACCTCTTTTCTGTAGGGCAATTTCAAGTGCTGTTTTAGTAACGTACTCATAACGAATAACTGACGCACTGAAAGAATATTACAGAATTTATATAAGTGATAGAAAGGGAATAAGATGGGCGGAATGTTGCGACCTTCAATACAGCACTTTGAGCGCATACCGGCAGCAGTGTAGTTTTAGCTGCTCTTCGACATAATGCGAAACACACTTGCTTTACTATCTAAATATCAGCAAAAAGACGAGTCTTAAAAAAAAAACCATTAATTTACGGACTTTACTGCTAAGGAGGTATATGTGATTCTCAAGTGTAAAATTAGAATATATAATCATTCCAAGATATGTAAAAGTCTTTTTATTTAAAATAACTGGGTAATTAGTTCGTTTAGAAGTTACAAACGAGCAACATTGAGGCATTATATACTTTTTTTGGAATTATTATATGCTGGGTTGAACTGCGCATAGAAAATTAAAATATTATCACAATACACTTGAAGTAACCAAATGACACCTTCATCACGTTGTACATGGTAAAGCCACGCTGCAGCTATATTATGGTTGTAGAAAGAATTGCTCGACTCGACCGGGGTGGGACCACGCTCTCACAGAATACCAGCGTAAAATATCGGCTTTATGCTGCCGTGTTTTGTATGGTGAGTGTAGAGAATCAGAGATGCTTTTTACTGTAAACGAGGCATTCCACCTTAGTCCTCAGGGTTGACAACGCATCTGCATTTTGATTCTTAATCGAGGATGAATGTAGATGTCTATGGGCCATAGCATCCACTTACTGTGGACTATGTGCTCGTTTGTCACTCTTATTCAATAAAAAAATCATTACCATTATAGCCCGTCAAAATTCCATTGCTAAGACCATCAAATGGGAAGCCGCCTTACACTCCCCATATTCCCTCTCGGTAGTCTGTTATCTAGGTTATTCACAAGAAGCATAGTTTAATTAATTTAAATAAAATAATGAAGTCAGCTCCTAAAAAAATTTTTCTTTCTTTCAAACAGGCGCAACAAGCTTAAGGAACAGCACAAACCACTTAAGCGCAACAAATGGCAAGAAGCGGCCCATTTCACCTGAACAGGTGCTCCGTCTGTTCGGGCAGGGAGGTGCTGCAGCGCTGGGCAAGGCGCTGCCGCCGTCGCATCCACCAGCACCAGTGCCTGCTCCATTGCCGGCTAGGCGGCACTCGCCTGCGAGCAGCCCTAGTAGCACAACGCATCATGTAAGCATATACATTCCTTCCGTTTTTTTATGTTCCGAAACAAAAGTTAAGTATACTTACGGCCCATATACGTTCCATTGCTGGGTGCAATCCTAGTCTCATTTGAGAGAGATTTATGAAGCAATAAAAAATATTCCGCCGCACTGCTTCACCGCGAGCGGCGGAATTCACACGGCCTTTTTTTATTCCTTAAACAATTTTAGGTTTTCTCATAATGTTTCCCTTAACATTGTTACCGCCCGGGATCGAACACGGATCGCTCGCGTGTTGTGAAATTTGGGACGGGCGTTTAGCCGTTTAAGCTACCAAAAATAAAAATATACTGGTGTTAAAAATTATCGTCAAAATTATTTAAATAAAAGAATATTACCGTTAATAGAAATTATTCTGGAGGTTAATTGTTAAAAATAATAATAGTGCGAGAGCGGATGTTCAATTGGCTCTCTTCCTTACGCAATTAATCATTACCATGAGTTTTTACGTGGTAGAGCCATGCTGCAGCTATATTAGTAGTATGGTTGTAGCACGAATGAGTCGACTTGATCGGGGAAGGACCACGCTCTCACAGAATACCAGCGTGAAATAGCAGTTTATCACTGCTCTGTTTCGTATGGTGAGTGTAGAGAACCAGAGACCCTTTTTACTGGAAAAAAGGCATTCCATCTTGTCCTCACGGGTGACAACGCATCTGCATTTTGATTCTTAATTGAGGATAGATGTGGATGTCTATGGGTCACAGCAACCACTTACCATCAGGTGGACTGTGTGCCCGTTTGTCACCCTATCCTATAAAAAAAAATAAGACAGCGTAACGCACTATACATTCAGTATAGAGCAAATACAGTTCGACCATACCATAATAAGTTCCCGTCACAATCACACACTGGTGTAATATGAAGGACATGATTACATGATAACACGAAAGTGTGTAAACCAACAGCAGCAACACAACCCTTCGCAATATAACACAGGAGTTACTTAGGTAGAATCTTAAGGTGTAGGTAATGTTTTGCCCCAACGGGCATAATAACGACAATGAAACTTGTAGAATTACCGACTAATCCCTTTTAGCTTGCGCGATAATTTACACTGCTAGAACAAGTGTGAGATTACAGTTCTATCCTCATTTGTTCGTATTTCCTTTTATCTTTTTTACCCTCATTCTTAACACTGGATTATTTTTATAGAAACAAGAGTGATAACCGCTCGGGGCAAACCGAGCAACAATACCAAGGCGACCCCTGCCACGCTATCCGTGAATTTCTGCAACATCAGAGGACTTCACTCGAACCTAAACGCCGTCCACTACCATCTCGAGACGGCGAAGCCGGCCTTGCTCTTTCTGACCGAGACGCAGGTTTCCTCTCCGGCTGATATTTCGTATCTCTCCTACCCGGGGTACAAATTGGAGCACTCCTTTGTGCCTCGGGCTGGAGTTTGCGTGTATGTCAGAGAGGACATCTGTTCTCGACGCCTCGGCAGTCTTGAAGGTTCGGACCTGTCCATCCTTTGGCTAAGCGTAGACAGCGACGACCATCCGCGTGTCTACGGGTGCCTCTATAGGTCCCATACGGGTAGTGCCGAAACAGACCGACTCATCGACCACGTCCAAATGGCTATAGATTCCTTCCTACAACAGGTCCCATCCGCAGAGATCGTGATCCTTGCCGATTTTAACGCCCACCACGCCGAATGGCTCGGTTCACGTTTAACCGATCATGCGGGGAGATCTTTTTATGACTTTGCTTTGGCATATGGTCTGACACAACTGGTTACTTCGCCTACGCGGATTCCAGATGTGGAGGATCATACACCTTCCCTGTTGGACCTTCTGCTGACCTCTCATCCGGACGGATATCAGGTTTCCGTCGATGCCCCTCTCGGCTCTTCGGACCATTGTCTGATCCGGAGTGTAGTGCCAATCACGCTCCCCTCGCGGTTGCGTTCTGCAAGTTGCCGCCGTGTTTGGCATTACAGGTCGGCGGATTGGGACGGAATGCGGTCTTTCTTTGCATCCTAACCATGGGGGCGGGTTTGCTTCTCGCCGGATGATCCCAGCCCTGTTGCTGACTCTGTCGCAGATGTGGTGCTACAGGGAATGGAACTATTTATTCTATCATCTGTGGTACCCATCGGAGGCAGATCTCAGCCTTGGTTTGGTCGCTCCTGTAAGACTGCAATACGCAGTAAGCAGGAGTGTTATCAAGCCTGGGTTGCGGCTTCGGCAACTCGGGATGTAAACACCAGCACACTTAAAAAGAAGTATAACTTCGCCTCCAGGTCCTTCAAAAGAGTTATTGCCAAGGCAAAGTCAGAGCACATAGGCAGAATTGGCGAGAAACTAGTTCGCCTTCCTTCGGGAACCCGTGCATTCTGGTCTCTCGCCAAGGCTGTCCAAGGGAATTTTTGTAAGCCATCACTACCATCTCTGCACAGGAAGGACGACTCACTGGCCCAAGAAACAAAAGACAAAGCCGACCTTTTAGGCTCCCTTTTTGCGTCCAACTCGACTCTTGATGACGGGGAGAAAACACCGCCGACCATCCCGCTGTGTGAGTGCTCCATGCCGGATATGCTGTTCTCACAGCGCTCGGTTCGCAAAGCACTTCTCTCCCTGGACATCCAGAAGTCGAGTGGGCCTGACGAAATCCCCCCAATTGTGCTGAGGACGTGTGCTCCGGAGTTGGCACCGGTCCTAACGCGTCTTTTCCGGTACTCCTACTCCTAAGGCATAGTCCCGAATTCTTGGAAGACAGCTTTTGTCCACCCGATCCCTAAAAAAGGTGACCGCTCAGACCCGTCCAACTATAGGCCTATCGCGATCACCTCCTTGTTCTCCAAAATAATGAAATCCATAATTAACTGCCAGGTCATGCGGCACCTCGAGGATCACCAGCTGATTAGTGACCGCCAATACGGTTTTCGTCGGGGTCGATCTACGGGGTCGACTCTACTGCCTCCGCCCATAGATGGGCGGAGGCAGTAGAGTCCAAGGGGGAGGCGTTGGCCGTTAGTTTGGACATTGCGAAGGCCTTCGATCGGGTTTGGCACAAAGCGCTTCTTTCGAAGCTCCCTTCCTATGGGCTTCCCGAGAAATTGTGCAATTGGATCACCAGCTTCTGTGCAGATCGGAGCATCAAGGTCGTTGTAGACGGTGCATGCTTCGACTACAAGCCTATTAACGCTGGTGTTCCACAAAGATATGTGCTATCACCAACGCTGTTTCTTCTGCATATCAATGATATGTTGCTAACTGGTAACATTCATTGCTATGCGGATGACAGCTCTGGTGATGCTCTATACACCGGCTCTATGTACCGTAACAAACTTGTGTCTGAAGTCGAGTCTTTGCTGAACAAAGTCTCGGATTGGGGGCGACTAAATCTAGTCCAGTTTAATCCTCAGAAGACACAAGTTTGCGCGTTTACCGCTAAAAAGAACCCCTTTGTCGTATCTCCTCAGTTTCAAGGCACTCCTTTTCTTGCCTCAGCCAGTATCGGAATCCTTGGAGTCGACATATCGAGTGACGTGCAGTTTCGTGGTCACTTGGAAGAGAAGGCCAAATTGGCCTCTAAAAAGCTTGGCGTGCTCAGCAGAGCGGGACAGTATTTCATGCCGGCACATCGCCTGCAACTATACAAGGCGCAGGTTCGGCCTCACATGAAATACTGTTCCCATCTCTGGGCAGGGGCTCCCTAGTGCCAGCTCCTTCCACTTGACCGCATCCAGCGTAGAGCGGCTCGAATCGTCGACGACCGAGTCCTTTCCGATCGGCTCGATTCATTGGCACTGCGAAGAGATGTTGCATCCCTTTGCATTTTCTTTCGCATCTACCATGGGGAGTGCTCTCAGGAATTGTTTGGATAAAAAAAAAGACGAACGAGCACTCAGTTTGATGATAAATGAATACTGTAGTCCATAGACACCAACATCTTTCATTGAATAAGAACAAAAATGCGGATGTGTTGTTACGCCTGAGGACTAAGATGAAATGATTCGTTGTCATTTAAAAGGGTCTTCGGTTTTCTACACTTACCATACTACACAGCAGAATTATGCGCTGGTGTTCTGTAAGAGGATGGTCCTTCCGCGGTCGAGTCGACCTATTCGTGCTACAACAACAAACAATATAGCTGTAGGTTGGCTCTATCACGTGTAATACTAAAACTAAAAACAATCCCTTGACATATTTAACAAATTTGAATGATAAATTTTTAAATAGTATACCAGTACTGTGAGATTTTTTATCAGTCCATTTAATTCATGGCTTCATATACCTTTTCAAGAATGGTATATACATATTAAGGTTTTTGCTGTGCTAGGCTATAACTATACACACTATGATGTAAGGAATGGTTGTTGAGTGCAGAGGCTCACAGAAAGGAAATGACATATTATATTTATTTTGTAAACGTAAGAAATTAAAATTCTGTTTTTCGAACGCTTCTTACTACTCCTCACCATCAGGCTGTGAGGGGTATACAAATTAAAAAAGAAATAGTTAGTAGAAAAAACATATTTATTCGTAACTACAGTATATAATTAATACTTCTAATTACTTCCTTAACTGATTCAATTAAGCTTTATATGGAAGTTCGTATTGGATTGCAGCAACGTTACCGTAGTAAGTCAATACGGAACAAAGGCCTTTCCCAAGTAATGCCACAAGCTCGGTCCTGAGTCACCTGCATCCATGGAATTCCTTTGCCGATTTAATGAGGGCTAATAATTTGCCACTCACCAGATGTCGCTAGTTGTGACTGAGGTAAAGTTTTTTATTACCCAATGTCAGTTAGTTGAGAAATCAATTTTAAATAATAGTTTATCATTATCTAGAATATAATATTAATACACAACACAATGCGTCAGTGGTTTGATTTTTAATTTTTTGCATTTTATAACTCTTTTTTTAAAAAAAACGGCTTTTAGTTATATTGTATAGTTTGGTTTATTCATTTCTAATGTAATTAATATAAAATATACCTAAAAATACAGAAAGA